ACCAAACCATCATACCTTCCAAACCTATCCTTGTACTTGGTAAAAAGAAACATCTTGAAAGACAATATACATGTCCTCAAATAGAAGAATACCTAATATGCAGAGGCGACACCAAAGAGAACGCGAACAAATGCATTCCAAATTTACTAATGGGAAACCAACCCGAAACCTGTCAATTTTCACCGCTACTGCTTTCACAACCTATAATGGAACAAATTAGTCAAGAACATGTGCTCATTTTGACAACACACCCACTACTTGTCCAAACGTACTGTGGCACCAAAGGATTCGCAAAAATCATTCGACCCAGTCTTATCACAATCCCAAATAAATGTTCCGTCAACATAAACGGATCTGTCTTCTCTACAAGATTAGATAACATAAATGGAACGAGTTATCTGCTACCCGAACTCAACAGCATATCGACCCAGCCAAACAGTAAACCCCTGGTTCTACAACAAGTGGACTTAGATGAAATATCTTCCATCAATCAAGCCCTCAATCACATAAAACCTGTTGTAATCGAAGAAGTCGAAGATACACCACATTATCTCTACCTTTATATAATTATAATACTATGCATCATCGGTTGGTGTATTTACCTGTTCCGTAATCAGCTGAAGAGAATCTATAAGCAAAAATGGAGATACCCTGTGCCACGACCGAGCGATTGACCAACCATCAGCACCCGAAAATGGAAACGTCAGCCCTACGATCTCCGGGCTTCCTTTTTAAGAAGGGAGGAGTTATGTAGCTAACCGAAACTCATGTATATCTTATTTTTAAGACCTATTCATATTTATTTCATAAGTAGTATATTATGCATTTATTAAAACACTTATCAAAGGGACCCTTGCCCTCGAAACTGTAAACATTATAGAAGCCGACAAACGAGCTTATTTTTGAACACATTAATTATTAGTTTGTTTTTAAGTAACGTTTTCATTCTAAAAGAACCATTATACTTTTATGTCAGAGGTTAATATTAAATTAGAGTGCATTCTGTAATATTTCAATCAAAACATGTAATTAGAACGAATGTTGTTGCATATATAAGCATTGTGTATGGTTTATACTCCAGAGTTAACTTGTATTTCACTTAGTAAAGTTCGTCTCATCGACTTGTGCGTTTTATTTCCTGCCAACGTCTGATCAAGTAACAAAACTCGCGTCACAATAAAGCAATGGAATCTGTGGCTCTTGGGAAAAAGGGAAAAGGATTGTATTTGAAACCGTATCGAACAGGTCTAGGTCTTTACCTGAAACCAAACAATTCAAAAAACTTCTAAAGAATATACCACGAAAACCTTTAAGTAATTTTGATCTTAGTCATTACGTTAAAATTCTAAAAAT